TCTGTCTATTTATTTATTTATTTATTTATTTATCAGGTCAAATGAACTTACTGATACTTCGAAAGACAGACTATGTGGGGAGGAATTGTGATAAACTATTGCTTTCTCTACTGCTCCCATAACTGTTTCTTGCTTGTTACTCATCCCAAATTTGGAGCGAATGTAGGTCGCGTGTAATTGAACAGAAAGTAGAAAGCGATGAACCAACTCAATAAATGCATCACCAATGAGCACCCATGCACCAGGACTACCAGGAGATGCAGCCCCCATATATCAGAATTCTTGACTATCGCACTAAGTAACTGAGTGCCCCCAGCAATGTTTTGAACAGTAGCGAAAGTGATGGACAAAGTAGAAAGACTCACATGCCACTGAGCAACATGGAGAAGTCGGTTAAACACCTTGTCATAGTCTAGGAATGAAGTTGTCGGAAGCAAATAATGTCGTCGATTGCTCTCCAATGAAATGGTCGCATGTGAACTGTTTAAATACGGCCTCTGCTACGAAGGTATTATTCACTGCCTTCTCGTGGCTGAAGTGTTTTCACCAAACTGGAAGAGCTAAACAGGGTTTAAGGAACTGTAACCTGGTTGGCGGTTCACTGAACCTACTGGAACTGGCTGTATTCTGATCCCAAAAAATGGCGATCGCCTGAATTGGCTCTGGTCATTTGAGCGGACGGAATGAATCTCTGAATCCAACGGCCATGTTGCAGCTGTTGATTATCTGTTCTCTTCAAGGTGCTCTGCTACCTTAAAGGTTGCACTTAGTTGTGTAAAAGCTAGCAGTAAACGCCGGTTCAGAAGCCAGGTGGCATTTGGGCTGCAACCCGTAACCGATTCCCATCGAACTCTAGTGATAATGGCTCCAAGATGTACCCCCGTTCGTGCTACAGCTTACTTGAAAAAGACGCACTGTTTACAGGCTCAGCCAGCTGGGTCGGCCATTAACCAAGCTGTGATTTTCAGTGTAAGGACGGTACTTTCGATTAATGCCAGAGTATTTGCGCCCAGCATGATGCTTTCACCAAAACATTTGCATGCGAAGTCTTGAAAGCCATCGACCGAATCAGGCTAACTAACTCCGGTACGCGGTGAATACAGGTTCCTGGATCAGATGTTTCTCATCGGCTTCATCACAGCAGACTAGCGAATAACTCAGGTATTCAAGATGTTGTGACTGCCGTAAGGAGCCATCGTAACAGTGTAGTCACTGCCTGAAATCGAGTATCCTAGAGGCCTGTAGTGGTCTGTTTCAATGATGCCCCACTGAACTCTACCGTACCAGCTTTTTGCTCGTTGGTATCTTATTCGGACTCAGCTGAAAAAGACGAGTTATGTGAACCGATGAACCGATGACCAACAACACCTCGAGACGAAACTTGTGTATATATGTATATTTCTAAGCCGCTTAAACTACGTGTTCTGTCGTACGGTTGCCCATTTATTTGTCGTCCCCATACCATGTACTAAAGACGTGTTTTTCTCACATTTTTCACCGTTCTGATGAAATCTTTTGAGGTATGTTCATCATCTAATTACTTGAAGGAATGCCTCAGTTTTTCTCACTAGCAGTTGTGTCCAGTCTGTCTGAAATAAACAAAATTACTCACACAGGGAGCATCTAAGTTTAATGTCTTGTGTCTTCGCGTCGAATGTTAGTGGTTTGAGGGAAACGTGTGCCTCGTACTAATTAGACTCCCAAAACAAAGGCATGCTCAGCTTTGATTTGTAACACGTGATGAAGTTGCCTGCATTATCGCTTTTGCTTATGGTAGGGGTTCTTTACGGAATTATTTTATTCACGAAGGGCTTCATCTGCGTATCATTGTGCTCTTTGAACGTGGAGGCTGGTAGTAAAAATTTTCTTTTACCTAAGTCAGCACATTTGGAGGTTAAGACAACTCACGATGATGATTATCTTGGACGAAGAGGTTAGCTCAATGATCAATGTTCTTGCAATTCGAAGTGAATTGAAAAACAAAACACCCGTTACGGACGAAGTGAATATTTTTGTTGTTTCGAATAAAACTAAGTCACCTGGATGAAGCTATCAATCGGCTGCACCTTGTAGGGATGAACGCATACTGGATGAATGAGCATCGTCTGGCACAACGATTGGACTTGCATACCTCTGTCGAAACTGAGACGACATTTGTGCTGCATTCATAAAATGGCGACCGATCGTCATTAACCGACTAAAATGAATTGTTTGAAGCGCAGTCCTAAGTTTATGCCAGACTATTCTAGTAAACGATCCGTCCTATTCCCGATTGACTAGGGCTTTTACTTTCCCTGTCCATTGAAAATACTGTTTTTTTTTTTACAAAGACGAGAAATGCGGCTGAATAAATCAGAAGTTCACGTTCTTTGAGCAGTCCTGACAGCGGACGGCAGAGCTCATCAGCGGCTCGTGTACTTGGTTGCATATCCTTGGGCATATCAAATATTACACGGTCCGTCTCACAGCTTTTTCCGTTTTTTTGTAGTTTAATTGGAAACGCCGCAAAACAAATTACTTGTCTACATCGGCTACTGGCGTTTTCCGTCTGCGTTAGGCTGGCTAGAGTTTATTATGCCTAATTTCATAAAGGACACTACACACGAGATTGCTGAAAAATCTTCCGTACCCCATGAGTGGTTCCACCCTTGTTTTTTCTCCTCAGGCTGCCTTAGTACAGTACATTCGGTTGAAGGATATCATAGACGAGAGATCCGACTGGGTTTCAGGTGAGTTGCTAGTGGAAACCAAAGTGATTTTCAAATGTGTGTTTCTGTTGATATGTCTAGGGAATGAATATATAGTCGATCGTTAACGACGTACATTACGATCCCGGGCGATTGTTTGGAGTTCCTTTCCCTCCTTTCTATCAGTAGTAGAATACCGCTTCAGGACTTACGCTGATATATATTGCTGAGTAACTGGGTTTGACAAGTACCTTTAAGNGGATATCATAGACGAGAGATCCGACTGGGTTTCAGGCGAGTTACTAGTGGAAACCAAAGTGATTTTCAAATGTGTGTTTCTGTTGATATGTCTAGGGAATGAATATATAGTCGATCGTTAACGACGTACATTACGATCCCGGGCGATTGTTTGGAGTTCCTTTCCCGACTTTCTATCAGTAGTAGAATACCGCTTCAGGACTTACGCTGATATATATTGCTGAGTAACTGGGTTTGACAAGTACCTTTAAGCAGACGTTCCTGAAAAAAACGGTCACAGGGTCTTGCGCATTTCCTCAAAATAATAGGGTAACAGATGTGATTCTGTCCCATCTTCTGAATCCTTCCATATTGGTAGTTTATGTTCCTTACGCCAAGTACGTTTCCCTAGTATGCTGGCAGATGGAAAACTAGACTAAGACTTTCGCTCAAAGCTGCTGCATATTCTATTCAATAGGGATCGTGCGGTGTAAACAAAAATTGCAAACAACGATTCAAATGCACTCTGTGGATGCCTGAAAGAGCCCACTGATACTTGAGGAAGTGCGATTTTCAGTGTTAATGAGATTCCAAGAAACAGGTTGCATTAAGTCATCACTCAAATCTCCTCTAAGATTTCTCCTTTACATCTCCACCGGAGCTTCGTTCTTGCATGGTTTTCTAACAGTATGGAGTTAAGTAAACGCAAATGCTTCGTTGAATTGATCGATACTTGTCTTGGGCTACTCTGGAACACATGGAAAACCTTTGTTTATCTAGCTGCCACTTGTCATCTATTTGGTTCCTTTTTGGTGAACAAGCCAATCTCTGACCGTTGGTTTGTCTGTTGGGCTGGGTCATCTGGTTGTTAACCAGTCGAGCTGGCCTCATCAATGCGTGCAGTTGGAAGTGAGTTGAAACTGGAAATGCTTAATTGAAGCTCGCACGTGGAGACTGATAGGGTCTGTTATACTGGTTGCCCCAGCCAGCTAGCTTGGAGAAGTTGAGGTCTCGTAGGTCTGAATTATACACACTCTACTGTGTGGCCTTTAGAATAGGTGTTGCTGAAAGCACGCGCTAATCCCTTTGGGTTGTTGGCTAGACTAATCAGCTTGGTTACAAACATCTGTACGAGTCTCGTGTTTCACACTGTCCCATTGCAATCATCTAGAACAATCCCATACACACCATTTGGTTTACAGTTATAAAATCCACTTCGATAACAGTTACAGGAGGTGTACATTGAGGCTCAAGCTGAAAGACGAACTTTGGATGAATAAAGGGCATCATCAAATAAACGTCCCTCTCTATTCCCCGTGATTATGAACAACGAAATCACCTACTTTTTCGGAACAATTAGCCCAGCCTTCATTCTGTCCATCAATTTATTTACCAAAAAATTCATAGAGATTTAATTGCCTCGTTCGTTTCAACCAACCGATAACGGTCCAGAGGATTGAACTAATTCAACGGTGCACTCCATCAGACTTTCATAAGTCAAACTATGTTTGGAAGTAAAGCTTTTCAAGAGATTGAGTGCCCTGCCTGCATCATCAGATGTTGCTCCTCTATCATATTTATCATCCCTTTCACCGTCACTAAAAATTTGTTCGTTCATATGAAATGGCACTGGTGGTTTTTCCCCACCTAATCCTGAAAAAAGAAAAACAAGCTTGTCTTACTATTAGCAAACTACACTCATTTATAAACCAGTTTGGTTTGGCGGGAGAGTCACCCGGAACACAGCTGAATCTCTCATGTATGCTGTTTTAAATGTGCAAGTAGAACATAAGGTTGAAGGAAACTGGGAGACTGCGCCTACCTGATGAGCTTCAAAAAGGGCAAAACTGGTCTTGGGCTGTCGAAGAATTTTCAGCAACCTGGTAAGTGATGTACTTGTCCTACCACATTTCACTTCCCGTGCATGTAGCCGGTCTGTTTCTTTCTGACGAAATGAAATATCGTCAAGTCCTGAACATTCTTCTGTTTCTGGCTGATTTCATCGGTCGCTATTCACATTGTCATAAGACCCGCTCTTCCGAATGGGTCCGCTAGAGTATCCGGATAAACTGTGTTCCAGGCTTTTAGAGTTAACAGTGTTATTTTAATCACATTCATGCAGTGCAACAAGACTATCGTCAGGTTATTGTCGTACTCGACTGCAAACTCAAACACGAGCGAGATTACAAACTTTTCAAAACTTGTATTCGAATCAGATTATGCCTTGGTGCATTCGCTAGAAGTGCAGTTTTCTAGCAGGTAGGTGGGAAAATTTATCCTGCGCCTTATTCATGGAAGAAACATCATTGGCTTTGAGTATTCAACTTTTCTAAATAATCATCTTCTGATCTCTACCTAATAAACAACTCCAGAAGCAGGCTTTCTGTGAGCACATTTTAATTACTTGTACGTGCGAGGGAATCGTGTCAAATCAGAGTCCATGGAGAATCTTGCTCGCGACGAGAGGTGTCAGTTTGGTTGTTGGTCTGTTCGCCGAGGTTGGCAGTTGGACGTCGTAACTAGGGACATAGCTCGACTTTACACCAACTCGTTTAGTAGCTGTCGCAACGAATCAGTCTTACTTAGTACAAATTATTTGGTGACATCTAGACCAATTGTTTATCGTTTCCTCAGAACAATGCTACAGTCAGCAAGTTTGACCTCTCTTGGCGCATGGTATGTTGTGGAATTCAGTCGCATACAGTAGCGACGGTCATTTCAACTACACTTGACTGTGACGAGCCGGGTTAATAACACCTAACCAGCGTCAGTGCACAAAATTTCAACAGGCACTTTCGTAACTAATCCAATGGGACTCATCATAACCTCAACCAGATTTATGGGGTCCAACGAATGAACCAGTGATGTGGTGTGAATCCACGCCAGGCAGGTCACTGTCTCCTCAGCAATATCCATCTCGGTGACATCACCATCAATTTGCGGGAACTTCAAATACTTCGGCATATAGATCACAGTCTGTTGATGCTTTTAAAAGACTTACCTGTTGGCATTGAGTTCAAGCCTGGAACAGACGCTAATTTATGATAATACGATGATATCAGTATTCTCCCGAGGTAACACATTACTCATAACGTTGCTTAAGGTCCTTCGACTGCCCACTATGGACTTCGTCCATCTTGAGAAGCATGGGGTGGGTACAGTCCCCGAGGTCCCGTCAACCTTATGTTATACTTGAAACCCGGTTGGAGATATTTCCACAAATCGTGTCATTGGTACTCGATTTCTTTTTTGAGGTGGACCAGCGTAAACGGGAGATTCAGCTGGATTCAGCTGTGAGTCCTGTCATAACCAAGTTCTCCAGGTCGTACGTTCCAAACGGGCTTTAACATCTGAGATGTACTTGCAATATGTCTACATTGAGCAGTTATGACATTAGAAATATTCGTTTCCTCCAGCAAGGGAGTTCGTTCTTCGAAGGAATCATTGCGTGAAGTTAGCCAAGAGGATCTTCTAAAAATCTTAGTTTGATCTAGGTCATGAAATCCTGGTTTACACCCGAGTAAGAAGACACCTCACAAAAGCTAATTATAATCTAACTAATGGGAATGAAACTCGAGGGCAACTCAGGTTGTGTTTTTAAATCTGGTCCCCATGTTTGCTAATTAATACACAGGAACCCAAACGGTTGCATGAAAAAAGAGGCGAATTACCATGATAGCTAGATGTAACTTGCTTACACCCCCTCGAGCGTTAGCGGCGATAGGAATGGATTCACCGCATTCCTTCACCTTGTTTTTAAAGTTATTAGGGTTAATTAGACTTCCTGACAAAAGCATACATATGTATATATGTAATAATATACATTCACACAATACTCACAACTTTTCCCAAGTGTTTGACACACTGACGTGCTTGCACCTGGTTTACACACTTACAAGGACAGAAACATAAGAATAACATTTGCTGTTTGACTATATATATACATGCGGGCAGAAAATCGCCGAAACTAAGGAGACTTCCAACGTGATGTCAATCTGTCGTTTGATACGGTTTGCTTTCTTCCTATGGGCGCTTGTGTTAGAACGTGAGTCAGCTGCTTGTAAAATAAAGTTCATATGTCTAGCCCTTTTTGCAATACAGGAGGGGGACAGTTATGGAAATTCTTACCAGTGAAAGTATTCAAAATAGGGGTGAATTTCTAAGCAGCAATATAAAGAAATCGCTGCTACAGTACTCGTAGAAAGAACGTACGGGAAGTTGGCTAAAGTTAATATCTCGTTTTTGAGGCTTTCTGTCTATTAGACTGCCGGCTCTGAATGTGGAGAAGTTGGAAAATGATTATAGGCCATCCCCGTAGTCTGCTTGTGGATGCTAGGTTTATCATATTTTCAAAAGTTGTGTCGTGGCGGTCACTTCCGTTTCATGAATGACATCCCTGGGCAATTATTTTAGCTGTAGCATGACAAACATGCGTAAGGGTGTCCTACACAGTAACTTCCCTGCTTAAGATAAATTTAAAGACAACTAAAGGAACAGATTTGGAAGAAGACAAACTGCCAGGGGCTTGGTGCTCAAACCGAACTTTCGCGGTATAATGTTGTTGTTTCCGATATGCACCTATTCTCCTCTATCTTGTTTTAACCTGAAGACAAGCCACTCTCTGACCGTGTCGTCGCGTAGCTGGTTTACTTAAAACCACGTGGGTCTGGTAAACTTATAGCCGCTTGTCTTGAGGTGGTATGAACTTCGAGATCCAACTTGGAATTAGCAGTTTCCAAACCAGTATATAGAATCCGACACAGTTCTTCAATTTGTGCTATGTACAGTTTCACTATTTTATTCATAGTACCGTGTTTGTTGATAGAACTCTATTTCAAGGATGCGACTTTTGGGGTGTTGCGAGTGACTCAAAGTGGCCTACTCGGCTGCAATCAGCAGTGGTCCATAGTCAACAGGCAACATCGTAACTCCTCTGAATACAAACAAGTGGAGAAGTGAAGTTTAACTGGAATCTTGAAGTACAAGCTCCCCTAAGAAAACGCAGTTCATGGCACCATAACAGTACGAGCTTGTCATAAGCAGGTTTCAGACTCACAAACGGTGCTTTATCTCGACTACTTCGCAGGTTTTACGCAATAAACTTTCACGCCTTAAACCACTGACCAGCTGTGCCACTCTGCCTCAGGCCAGTCAGCACATCGTTTGCTCAGGAATATGAACATGTGTTGAATGAAACTATTCACAAACTCACTGGAAACTCTTCGATAACCCAAGGTTGGTGTTGTCCTTCTTGGGGGTCACCAGATAGGCGCAACCATCGAATTCCCCTTCAAACTCAAGTCTTACTTCAATGTAGGTAGGACAGATTTCGACAAATACGTTTGTCTGCCTTGCAAACAAACGTCTTCGCAAACTATTCAACTAAATCTCAGTTGAATTTCTCGTTTACAAGATTCTTCAGCTGACTGTGCTGCGCAAAGGTCACTTCATGTTTCGGTTGGCTATCAAAGTTGTCAGCAACCTGAGTGGTGCCCCTAAAAAGACCCAACTAAAGCATGGGACAGGCCTTTTGCACCATATTCATTTAAAAAGGAATACAACACTCGAGAGACTCACCTGAGATCTAGTTGAGCCTCACTTGACAACCGATTTTTTCCGCAAATGAGTGTATTTCGTGAATACGAGTCTTTTGTTTCGTTGTGTGAATACTAAGGTTCACAGTGACGATAGTCCTCAGCAGGGGTTACCCAACTTTTCGCTACTCTATGAATTGGCAAAACTTCCACGGATAAAGTGGAGTGAATTCTAGCAATGGTTTAATTTGGAAAAAATCCCCATAATGGTTACAGCAGTTGCAAAATTCTTTCAAATCGGCATCGGGAAAGCTACGGTAAAAATTACCTTTGGAATTTGATGGCATTTGTTAGATTCCTGTGTTGACGAATTGTGATGAGAGGACACCTGGCTCACCTGTGTCTTCCAAAAATGTGCGGATCATTCATGTTTCGTGGGTGATGGAGATACATCAAAACTTCTATTCAAATTTTGCTCTGCGGAACAAAAGTTGGGGAATGACCTGTAACTGTTTCTAAGGTGCGTGGGACCATTTATATTATCAGGAAGGTCCGCTTCCTGAAAGCAACCACTGAATGCCCGAAATCTACCGAGAATCTCAGGTCCGCTAGATGTTAACCAGATAGACAACGCCCCCTCAATATGCAGCGCGTCATAGCCTTGTATCAAACCCAGACAGCGCGAGTCAGCGTTGATCAAGGTCAGACAACGCCCCCACAATATGCAGCACGTCGCAGCCAGACCGTGTGCGTCAGCATTGGACCAAGTTCAGACAGTCCTTCCAATAAAAAGCTCGAGGTCGTTGTACTTTTCGCACTCGCACGCACTCGCGCTCTCGCAACCACTTTGTTAGAATATAGCTATTGTGTTCCCTTCCGTGAGCCTTTTTCTCTCCGACACTAGGCCCTGGAGCGGGTCAGCAGCAGATA